GATATCTGGGACGAGTTTGTGTTCTTTAAAATTGAATTTTAAGAACAACAGAGGTTAAGAGCAGAATATATTTATTGAGGGAAAGAAAGCTTCTGTCCAAGAGAGGGACAGTAGCGGGCCCAAGTGGGTTGCCAAGGACCTTGCCGTTCCCAGGGACTTTATAGAGCAAAAGAACAGGTGAGGCGGGTCCAAGACGGGGAAAATGGGAAATTACAAGGTGGGCATGAGGTGGGACAACACTATGGTCAGCCCATAAGATTACAAGTATAATTGTTCAGGTAAAATTGAGTAAACTGGGATCAGATGGAGAAGTGAGTCTTGTAGCAAGTGGGCATGAACACAGAACAGGGGCTTTTCCTATAGGGGGCTGGGCTAGTGTGTGTTTCTGGTTTTTTCAAGGTGACCGCTACCTATTTAGAATATCAATCCCTGATGCTCACACCTAGGAAGGTATGTGGGTGCATTTGTTTACACCTTTGTCTTGAGGTCTGGCCCACAGCAAATAAGTCTCCATTCACAAGGTATCTTGTCTTTCATGTTGGCTCCTTCAAGGGCCTGGCCCTGTCTGACTGCCTATAATATTTCTATCTAACCCAGCTGCCTACAACATTGTTATCAGGCACAGGAAATCCTGCTTGCTTTCTCCTTCCAGGCCCAGTGTTGACCCTTCCAGTGCTTTGCTTTCTGTTGCTCCAGGGCAGGGGATGAGCTTATCCAACAGACCACCAAAGGATGGCACAGCACCAGAGATTGACCCAGACTCATGACCCACCCAGGAACTGCCACTGGCCCAGGGGCTGGGATCCCAAAGGACTGGTGTCAGCACTTCCAGGCCAGCTGGAGAAATACCAATGGAGACCAGGTGTGGTGGTGCACACCTATAATCCCAGCACTTGGGAGGCTGGGGCAGGGGGATTTCCATGAGTTTGAGGCCAGCCTAGGTTACATATTGAGCTCAAGACCAGCCTGAACAACCTAGTGAGACCCTGTCTTAAACAAAACAAACAAAAAGAAATACCAATTGGGAAGCTACACTCCTGCTGTGCCTCCCTGTGGCTTGGCATGCACTTGGCATGCAGCTCCACTCAGCTCTGAGTCCTAGAGGCCCATGGATGCCATGTCCCTTCCTGCAGCTTTACCTTCAACAGCGTGATCAAGGAATGATCACAAGGCTGCTGACTCCCCGGAAAAAACAGCAGGAAATCAGGCTCATGAGAAGCTTCACTGTGCTCAAATGTCAGGGGAGGGTCAGGGAGACGCTGACGACACTGACATGCATCTCTGTGGCTTTTATATTCTAAACGGAGCCTGCGTGTACACCCGCACTGGTTCTCATTAGAACCTGAGTGGTTTCTCTAAGAAACACTGCAGTGAGACCTCACTCACAGCCAGAGCACATCCGTTCTCAACCATGCCCTGGGCCCAAGTCTGCATAAGAGAATAGCAAGCTGGTGCTGATGGAGAGAGAAGGGAGAAGTTGGAAGCAGATTATCACTCCCCGTGCAAGCCTGCATTTCACCCAAAGGCCTTTCTCACCTTTCCTCTCTGTCCATCACAGACCGCTCACGGGAGTAATATAAATCAGAACAATTAGTTTTAAAGGAAATCACACTCTCGGAAAAAGGAAAACAGATTTTTCAAAAATCACTCCTCGGAGTCATTGCTCGGCCAGTGTCAGGTGATGCAGAGCTGCTGGTCTCTGGCTGCCATGAAGAGGATGGTATTTATCCTGAGCCTTCCCTGCGGGGGACGGGGCAAGGAGGAAAAGCCAGGCTTGGTGCCTGGGAAAGGTTTCCCCTCGGCCATTTCCAGTATCAAAGATTGCAGTAGAAGTCTCGCTAGACTTCACTGTGTTCATCCAGAGGTCGCTATCCCCAGATGTACATCCTGAGACACAGTATAGGTTTGCTCTGCCTTGGTAACTCACGCGGTAGGGCTAATTGCTCTTCTGGGCAGCACTTTGGGAGCTGAGGCTGTAGAGAGGGAGAGAGCGAGCAAGCAGGGCAATGCTGCCCCAGGGCTGCCTGGAGGTGCGCAGGCGTCAGGGGGCTCCTGCAGCCGGGACCGCCTTTCCTAATCACTGGCTCAGGATGGGCCCTGCTGGGTCAGACAGCACCTGGGTCTGAAATTAGAGCCCTTTGAGTTCATGTCTAAAGTTTTTGGAATACAAAACCGACAGGCTACACCTTCCAATCTCATGTGTGTTCTGAACGGCACCTTCCAGCGCCTCATCTGAACATACTAAGTTAGCAGTTCTAAGGAACAGATGTTCTGCATGGTTGGGTTGGCCAGTTAGCCAGGGTATTAGCCAAGCTGGCGCCTGAGTGGGTCAGGGAGTAGAGGGACTCTGGCTTCCATAACCTAACCCTGGAGGCCCACACACTGACAGTGACGGTGTTGCGCAATAAATGGGGAGGTCAGCTGGGGCATATGAGGTTCCAAGTGAGGGGAAAGGTGGGGAGAGCTCCCTTCTCCATTGGCTAAGGGTTGGAGGGTGACAGTGGTATGCAGAAAGATCAGCAGGGTCAGAGCAGCCCTGTAGGAGCTGGTGGAGGTACACGGGTGGCGGGTGCGTAAGAGAGGGGTCAGTAGTAGAGGCCAACAGGGTAAGGTCAGGACAGGAGCAAAGGGTGGTGGACGCATCAGCTTGTGGGCGAAAGGGGTCTGCAGGCAGGGAAAGAACAGAATAACGGACTCATTAGGCTAATCCTGACCAGAGAGAGTTAAAACTGTACTGGAAGGAGCGATGAACAACAAAACAACAGGGAGAAAGTCAGGTGACCTAACCCAGCTAGCCACCCCTCTTCACCTTCAGGAAAATACACAGCAGTCAAAAAGGCAGAGGACTACACGATAAGATATATATTCACATAGAGAGAGAAAGCAAGGATAGAGGGTCACTACGTTACTCTAGAGGCACTGTATTCTTGCACTAGATACACACATCCTCTACTTAGGCACTAACTGCAAGCGACCTTGTCTGTAAGGCTCCTCTTAACCAATCTGTAAATCCCAGACGTAAGGCCCTGACAAGGACAAATGGGCAGGGAAAAGTCAAACAAAGCCCATCTAGGAATGTGTGCGTAGACAACGACAGCCAGGTTAAGTTCTTGTGGCCTGGGTTTACCTCAGACAGCCCAGGGAGCCAATCAGATTGTGACAAGTTCTGGGGTGGGGGAGGGTCCCCTAAACCCAATAAAAGAAGTGATAAGAGAAGCTGGAGACAAAGGACTCCAAGGAATCCCTCCAGATCCCTTGTCCTCCCCGCTCACAAGGCAGCTTTCTGTCTTCTGTTTCTTCCTCCTCACAAATAAAGCGTCTTCCCTTTTTAAAAACTCCATCCCTTTAATTAGTTACAGTGCTGAGTTGATGATCCCGGTTGGCTGTTCATTCCAGCGGAGCAGCAGTGTGCACCCCCAGGTGAAGCAAGCCCCAGCTGGTTAGTTCTTTTCTAGTTTATTTCTCACTCTGAGGGCTGTGCATTTGCAATAACACAGACTCAGAAAGAGACCGGGCCAGACCGGAGGTAAAGAGGGGCTAAGTGGTCTAGAAGCAGCAAATGAGTAGCTGCCATCTGGACGGTGGAGTGTGGCCTGTGTTCTGGACCCCACTCACGAATGCCCCTGACCCTGCATCCCACCACCTTCACCTCACTGAGGTGGTGAGTGCCAGAACCCTGTCCCCAGAAACAGGATGGGCAGCTGCCATCCCCAGAAAGAGCTCAGCACACCATGTTCCAGGCGGTAGGCCCAGCTCAGTAACCAAAAACGATAGAATAAAACTAGATTATGAGCCAGGCACGGTGGCGCATGTCTGTAATCCCAGTACTCGGGAGGCTGAGGCAGGAGGATTGTTGTGAGTTCAAAACCAGTCTGGGTTACAAAGTGAGCTCAGGACCAGCCTGAACTGCATAGCGAGACCCTGTCTCAAAAAAAAAAAAAAAAAAAAAGACCAAATTAAAAAAAACTGGATTATGGAATTTTACAATTAGTTAGAAAACAGAGAACACCAGATTTTTTTTCTATGCTAGAATTTGAACTCAGGGCCTTGTGCATGCCAGGCAAGTGCTATACTATTGAGCTACATTGCCATCCTGAAAGCCTAGGTTTTGCTTTAACATGAAAGTTTGCCATGAATGTCTTCTAAATTTCTCATTTTTGTTTCTCCTGTTAAAAAAAATATATATATGTATTTTTTGTCTTTTTTTTTGTCTTTTTGAGATAGGGTCTTGCTATGCAGCTCAGGCTGGCCTTGAGCTCACTTTGTACCCTAGGCTGGTCTCGAACTCGAAACGATCCTCCTGCCTCAGCCTTCTGAGTGCTGGGATTACAGGTGTGCACCACCTCTCCCGGCTAAAAAATATATTGACAACTTTGAAAAATATTAATATATCTCATACTATATGCCTATTACACATTTACCAGACAAGTATGGCTTCTACTCTCATAGACCTCATGTTAGTGAGGTGAGAAAAGAGAGAGAGAGAGAGGCTATATAGCAAATCATTGTTTTAGAGCATGACAAGTGCTAAGGAAACAGTGGAAGGTGCCTGCAGCACCATTTGAACTGGGTGGCCCGGCAAGGCCTTTCTCATATGATGAGGTCACCTGAAATCTGAAACAAGAAGCCTGGCGAACATGTGGGAGGAAAATGCTCTGGAAGTGGGAACAGCGGGTGCACAGCCCCCATCCAAGACGATGTTAGCACATCCCAGACACAAAATGAACGTTAATTACTGATGTTGATTATCCTAGGGATATACTTGGGTGTGGAAAGATTTCCAAGCCAAGGTCTGTGTCCTAGAGCAGCTCTGTAACAGAGATAGACGTGAGCAAATAGTCACAGGACAGCGCAGAGCTGCACTGTGGCACTGGGACAGAAGCAAGTGGGGGTATGGACTGGGGAGGAGTAGTGACTGAGTTTCTGGTTGAGGCTGCTGGAAAGGCGTCACAAAGGAGGTGACAGGCAGCAGGATTGTGAGGTATCAGTAGAACTGAGAAGGCAGGGAACAGTTGCGAGAACACACAGGGCAAAGGCTAGCAGCTGTATTTTCCACTGGCGGACACTATGGTGAAGGAAGTGAGCGTCAGGAGGCAGAGAGGCCAGGCCACGACCTTACTCTGTGCACAGCGGGAGCTTATAGAAGGCGCTAGGGAGGGCACCCCAGGTCGGCTTTGTGTTTTAGGGGCCCTGCCCCTTCAGTATGTCCTGGGGAGAACAATGTGGGGTGGCTATAGCAGCCTTGAAAGAGATGGAAGGAGGATTGGGGCAGAGGAGCAGAGAAAGCTGAAACATCAGGGATATTTTAGGAGGTGATAAAAGGTGAGGACAGGGATGGTCCACGACAGAATCCCCGGTGACTGCTGCAGAGTGAGATGGGCACGGAGGCCAGCGATGTGGGCAATGGAAACACCAAGGCCAGAAAAAAGAGAAAGCGTTCATGAGGAACGAGAACTAACACCGCAAGGAGCAGAAGGTGAGCGCCAGGAGAGGACTGTACTCCTGGGAAAGGCCAAGCGCCTTTGTGCGAGTTCCTTGAGCCTTAAAAAATAGCTGAGTCATAGAAGCATATTTCTTTTTTGCTGTTGTTTTGGTCTCTTGGGCCAGTGATGGATTAAGTCATCCTTGTCACAGGGCCAGTGATGTATCTCATCCTTGTGATAAGAAATGGGCCAGGGTACAGGGTAAGGAACAGTCACGCTCCTTGCAGAAAGGTGTACACTGAGGCCTGTATTGGCCTGTGAAGCTGTGACGCCTCAAAGGACAAGATAAGGCCATAGCTGAGGACGTCTGGCTCCAACCCCAATTAACTTAAAGGAAACTGTGGCTGCAGGCATCTCACTCCTGCTGTGAAGGCCTTCCTGGAGATAACTTAGTTCTCCTAAATTAATATAATGTAGGCTGGGCCTTGTATAGGCTAGACTATTTCTAGAGTATTTCTAGTTAAGAAGAGGTGACAAGGAAGTTTTTTCTTTTAGCTGAGAGCTGGAAATTCTGCTCACGTTCTAGATGTGATCAAAAATACAGTGAATATTTGATGTTTGAAAATTTCTTACAGTGAAAGACACATCACCATGAATTTCCTTTAAGATATTCTCTCCTCAATTTGAACACATTTAGCTCATTATTCTTGCAGTCCTGGGAGTTCTCGCTCATGTGTATCTTTAGTTGCACTGTCGTGGCTGCCTCGGTGTCCTGAATCAATTCAAAATGTTTACCTTTCACGGTCATTTTGACTTTGGAGAAGAGCCTGAAGGTCCGCAGTGGAAGACTCAGTGAAATGTGGAAGGGGACATACTGCAGTGTTTTCACAAGCCTGCCTTTCTGTTGGTGGCATGAGCACATTTACATTGTGTTCAAATGTTTGAACACATCTCATAAATACACTCATGAAAGAAGACATCCAGAACTGCTTCAGAAAGTAGAAAGAATGATGGGATAAGTTTTGTTCAAAGTGAGGTGCTGTTTTAGCAGAGTTAATGGTGATGTATCTTTTTTTTTTTTTTG